TTACGCTATGCTGTAGATTATTAAGTGTGCAGTAATAGCATTATGTCTAAATAACAATGTACGTACCTTAAATAAAAATACATCATTGCTAAAAATGCTGACCGTCTGAGCTGTCAGCGAGGTGCAGTCTTTCTGCTGGAGGAGGGTCCTGCCTCGCTCTTGATGGCTGTGGACTGATTGGGTGGCTGCTGAAGGTTGTGTGACTGACAATTTCTTTCAATAAGACAGCAGTGAAGTCTGTCGCCTTGTCTCTCTTCCTTTCACCAGTGATCTCTCTGTAGCACGAGGTGCTGTTTGGTACATTTTACCCACAGTAGAACTTTTCTCAGAATTGGGGCCCGTCCCCTCGGACCTGCTGCTGCCCTTTATCAGCTGAGTTTACATAACGTCCTGAGCCCTGTGCTGCCATTCCAGTGTTCCTCACAGCACCTTCCCCAGCCGGCCCTGCTGTAAGACACGCTGTCGCTCGCCCACCGGAGCCTGTCCTCTTCCAGCACTTGCTGCCTCGTGTCTGCTGGAAGTGGTGCAGGAGATGTGCTTGACGCGGGTGCCACAGCCTTCATTTTAATAGTGCGGAGTCCGCCTAGTGCCATAGAGCCAAGCACAGAAAGTGAGATACGCCTGTAAACAGTCACAGCTGCCTCTCTGACCTGGAGAACCTTCAGAGGCGCCTTTTTCAAGCGAGAGGACACCTCAGACTTGTCTGCACAGAGACTTTTCCTATTGACACCAACACTGGCTCCAGCCTCCACACATGTCGTGTGTTAGTGGTCTGATGCTATGTACAGACCATCCCAAACTTGAAAGGCTTAAAACAACAGTCATTTCCTTTGCTGAATAAAACACCTGCATTTTGGGGAGGGCTCTTTGCTCCGTGGTGTGTCACCTGGGGTGGCTCTAGTTGGACGACCTACTTTAAAGAAGGCTCAGTCCTCATGGCCAGCAGGTTGGTGCTGACTCTCAGCAGGGCCCTGAGCCAGGGCTGTGGGCTGGGGTCTCATTTTCCTTCATTTGGGCTGCTTCACAAGCTGCTGGCCTGCCTCACCGTGTGGTGTCTGGGTTCAGGAGTGAGCACCACCTGTTGGAAGACTGCTCTGCTGAATGAGGGAGAGAATCTCAGGTTGTTTCTTACTGTGCTGGCTCGCTTGCCGACTGCAGACCACACGTTTCTTCTCAGGGTCTGGTAGCCCCTGGTGCTGAGAAGGCTGTTAGAGGGTTTTTTTTATCTTAAGTTGAAGATCTCTATTTTTTTCAGTCACGTTTCTGTTTCTAGTAAATTACCCCGAGTCACTATTGGCCTGTGGAAGTCATCTGTGAGCTCTTCAGTGAGCAGGGAAGAAACTAGATTTGTAGATCTCCCCCAAGAACTCTCTGCCTTTACCTCATTGCACTGAAAATGCACAGTTTCCCATTCCTAGATCTGGAGGTGGTATAGTAATGAGATTGCCACCTGCCATTTTTGAGTTTTGGGTTAGTTTTCCTAAAATAAGGTCTAGGTTTTTCTCTTGGCACGAGGTGGAATGGTACATAAAGTTCACTGATTTGTTGTTAAAAAGAGAAAAAAGGAAGGCCTCCTATGGGCCAGGCATTGTCTTAGAACAAAGCAAAGGTCTCTATTCTTCTTAACTTACATTCTAGTGAGGGCAGACAGTAAATGCAGTAAATAAGTAAAATGACATCGTTGTAAATTCTAACAAAGGGATTAAGTAGGGCGAGTGGTTTTACCAGGGTGAAGGGTCACTGGAATTGTAGTTGCAAGTAGTGATCATTGCAAAGTAGTCGTTTGTACCAGCCAAGGCTTCATGTTGAGAAGCTCCCACAGGGTGTGTGGGGAAGGGCATTCCTGCAGTGGGAACAGCCAGAGCGAGGCCAAGTGGAAGTGTGCTGGCTTGTGAAAGCCAGTGAAGGCCAGTGAGGCTGACAGCAGGTGGGGAGTGGTAGGAGATGACGCCAGGGGCTTAGATGCAGGGCAAGTATATGAGGCCTTTGTCCTCGGAAGGCCTTCCCCAGGACAGAAATGCAGGGCCATCCGAAGGCTTGAGCAGAGGAGCACCGTGTGACAGTCTGGCCTGGGTTTTCAGTGGGCCCTGCAGTTGCGTCGTTGGCAATAGCCTAAACCTGGCAGGCGGGAAGATCAGCCCTGCCACTCACTGCCATGCCATCTCTGGGGCACATGGACCTCCAGAACCTTCGGAAAACCCTGTGAGATATTTGATGTTTGTTTTTTTTCCTTTTTCCACGTGAGGAACTGGGGGCGGGGGGCTCAGAGCCACACCTTGAGCCCAGGTCTCCTGTTTCTGGGTCCATGCTCTTCCCACCTTCCTGCGTTGAGCCAGAGGTCAGCTCATGTGCTCAGAGGTCATGTGCGGCCCTCTGGTCAGCAGCTGCAGTCTCAGCTGCTTGTGGACTCCTTTGGGGGATGAGAACCAGTGGTATTCTTACCTGCTGAGGTGGCTAGACTTTAAAATTGCCCTGCTTGAACCATACGAAAGCAGGTTTGCAAAGGGTGGGATAGGTTGGGAGATGTGCCATTTTTTGCTCAGCTACTTGGTATGAAAATTGGGCATCTGAAATCATATCTTAAGGATTAAGTGGCTTCATAAATAATCTAAAACAGTTGTTGGCTTTTAGCATTTCATAAATGAAAAAGTAAAGTAACAATTCTTATAATACTTTTCCAGACCTTTGGGGAAATTGAAATTGCTTGTGTTTTATTAATCTATGTGCTCCAGGCACATTGGCCCACAACATGAGCAAGTTTATTGGTGTGAGGATTGTTTTGTACTTAAAACTGTGTGACTTGCAGGAGCGAGGAGTAGAGAGCAGTATGTTCTGATCCTAGAGACATAGCAGCTTCTGTTTTCCTGATATTTAGTTCACTTTAAAATACTGGATAGCCAAAAGTGACATCGAATGATGAAAAAACACTCATGTCAAGAACCTGAAAGTCCACAGCAATGCCCGCTGCCTCATACTCTTCTGTGTGTTGGTCTGTCACAAGGACGGTCAGCGCCACTTGTGTTTGTGGTGTCCCAGGCATCCTGCCCACCTTGCGCCCTGGTGGTGAAGTAATGAGAACAGGGAGAGAGGCACCTGCAGGCACTCAGATGGTTAAGTTAGTTTGCATGGCCATTTCTTAGGGTTCAAGCATTTACAGCTTTTTGAGCTTGTCCTTAACGTAGCTTAGAAAATTAAAAAGTACAGGGAATGGAGACCAAATGACAAAAGCAACTTAAAAAATAAATGAAAAACTTTAAAAGATTCTTTGTAAAATTTCTTAATATGTAACCTTTCAAAACGACATCCTGGGCCAATGGGTGGATAGTAAAATTGAGCCTCTTGGGCTGTCTGGATGCTGATCTTTGCTGTGCCACTGGCCCACTTGCTTGTTTACAAGGCTTTGTTGACTCCACAGTGGTGGTGTTGTAAAGACTATTTGGTGAAGTCTGCTGAATGACACCTGAGCCCTTTGGCTAAAAGAATCCAGTGACTGCAGTCGCTGTGGTGAAGGCTTGTTGTCCTTAGGCTGTGACAGTAATCCCCCCTGGGCCAGTGGAGGGCCAGTGGAGAAGCAGTGATCACATAGAAGCCAAACAAGTGGACATCCAAACTGACTCCAGCAGGTGTGGCTGCTGAGTGAGGATGCCAGTCCAGGTCAGACTGAGTGGACCACACGGCCATGACACTCTGGGCACCTGCCTGTCACTCACAGATGCAGCCGAGAAGGGAAGTGCCAGTTGTCACAGTGGCCGTAGCATCACGTGAAGAACAGCCACCAGTAAGGGCTTTTTAAAGCTTCCAGCTGTTAACAGTTCTGCACTGATTTAATTTCAGATCATCCACACACCGTGCAAGTGGCCCTGTGATGCACCTTTCCTCATATTTGGAGGCAAACTACCATACTCCGAAGACTGTATAAGAACACAGGCCCATAGCTGCCTCTTCATTAACCTCATGTCTCTCCCACTCTTCCTCCCTCTGGGCAGAATCTGGTCTCCTCCTCTGGGCTTCCACATAACTAGGGTGGGTTATGTGCGCCGTGGTATAGAATAAAGCTCATACACAGAATAGGGTACCGATGAGCCAGGTTTCTAAGCCCATGATGAATGGGTTGATGTGTTAGACGTGTTCAAGAACTACTGCAGTATTTTCTATGTAAGTGTGTGTTTTTGTTTACCCCACATACTTAGGTCCATCAGGAAAACGTGCATTGATGAATGAAGCTGTTAGCGGGATAGGAAGAAGTAAATAGGAAATTTTATTTATTACTCACTTATTTTTTAATCCTCACCTGAGGATATTTTTTCCACTGCTTTTTAGAGAGAGTGGGAGGGAAGGGGAGAGAGAGAGAGAAACATCGACTTGAGAGAGACACATCGATTGGTTGCCTCCCGCAGCTGCCCTGACCAGGGCTGGGATCAAACCTACAACCCAGTTACGTGCCCTTGACCAGGAATCGAACCCATGACCCTTCGGTATCTGGGCTGACGCTCTAACCACTGAGCACATGTAAATAAAAATAGAGGTATTTGATAAAATAATTTATGTTGGCTTTATTTGATAGCCTGCCTCCTAGGATTGTGAAAGGGAATGCATTTGGCTGTTGATACAGAAACTCCTGTTTCACTTGAAGGACCTCCTCATTGGAGAACTTACTCAGTTATCTGAGTTTAGAATTTGTTTATGTGCATGCTATACTACTTTTAAAAAGTATGCTATTTCTATATATACTAACATAGAGTAAAGGATGTATAGGATACTGACCTTGTCTAAACAGCGTATAAATAGGTACTTTTATACTTACAAAATTTATTTTCAGAATTGTTTTCCATATGTTCAGCATGCTGGACCGTGGCTCGGGCCGTGGCTCTGACCACGTCAGCGTGCTGTGCTTGCTCTGTGCTGGGACCTGCGTGGGTGCTCCGGTGTGCTTCAGAGCTACACGCAGCATGTGTGCATATTTTTATTTCACCTCTTGTTTTGTATTTTTAAACATTCAGCATATTGGAACAGGATTCCAGGAGAATGAATCCTAGTGTGAACCCTGCAAATCAAAGGAGGCATCTTCTTGGATTTTCTGCTAAGGAGGAGCAAGACCCACCTGACAGCATCATCAGGAAAGACAGCTACAGGTGAGATGGATGGCGTGTGTGCTGGGCTGCTGTAGCGAGGCTGAAACAGGTCCTATAGCACAGCCCACACCTGAAGCACGGTACACAGTCACTGTGGCTAGGAGTGCGTTCACTGTTAAGGTTGGTCCTAGGAATAAACTTGCTTTCTGAAACCTCTCCCTGTTTTAGAATTCTTATAGAGACGTGGTCTTAAAGTCTCAGTTTTTCTGCACTAATATACATTTTGAAACATACACAGTATATACATATTATGTTGTATGTGATGTCTTTAACATAGTTATGTTATTTACCATGTGTGCTGGGTGTGATGTGGTTGAACCTATTTTTAGTCATCAGATAAAATCATTCATACTTGTTTATTATGATCTTTGTTAAATTTTTCTCCCTTGTTAAAATTTAATACTGTCTTGGTAAATTTTCATATAGCTTGTCAATCGTAAGAGACAGTGTTGTGGAAATAGAATTTCTACGTTTTGTTAACTAGAAGAAGTTAAACACGTAGTGGAGTTAGTGGACATATTCAGAGTTGTATACTTTTTGATAAGCATTTCTCTGTGTTATTTGGAATCTTAATGAGAGCCAGACGGAGCCAGGTCTTTGACTGACAGCAAAGAGAGGTCGTAGTGGTAGTCGTGGCAGTTGTGGTGCAGTGTGATGCTTGACAGTCATTGAAGATTTGTTTACTCTGAACTCGGTGAATGTAATAGCTGAGGCCCATAGGGATCCTTCTGCTGATTTTCACTGTTACACCCCCACTGCTGAGTGTGGTTAGTACCATAGTCCCGCAGGCTTGTCTCCGTTTTGCCTTCTTGGAAAAACTGCTTGTACTGTGCTCATTTTTTCAGGCATCTGTGGTCTGTAAAGCACGATGCTGCGTGTGGCGAAGGATTTGGAGGATTGTATGGCAGTGTAATGCAACAGAAATGTGACTGATGCCACGGTGTGGAAAACACACTTCGTGACTTCTGAAATACCAATCTTGGTGATCCTTTAACAGTGTCCCTGGGTGTTGCCAGAGTTTAATAGTGTCTTTAATTTTACAAAATCTGTCTGAGTTTGCTGTACATGTTTTGCAATTTTGAGTCCTGTTGTTCACATGAGACCATCAAAGCGACATTTTAGATTTAATAGTCTTTGGATTTATGAGAGTTGAGAGTGTGTCCCTTAGGTATATGTAGCTTATTGATTAGATATCTGACGTTATAGTCAGGTGACCTTTACAAAATTGTTACTTGTTTCCCACCTGTTTGTCCACAATGGAGCAGGTGGCTCCCAGAAAGGTGTGCTTGGGTCATCCTAGTTCCACCTGCATGTCTAGATGACTTCCAGGGTAACTCACAGCTTTCACAGTAGGACATGAAAGGCAAGCCCTCTCTCTGTCCCTAGCAATGTCACCACAGTGCAGAGTAGGGGCTACAGGTCTTGGTAAAAATGGAAGAGATTCTTGGCTATAGGCAAGTCTCTTGTAATAGCTACAGCAACTTGGGAGATTTAAGTAGTTATCAGTCCAGTAAGTTGATGTTCTTGCTTTTATCATTATAAATGCTGAATAAGAGATACTAAGAGTTTGCAAAATATTTGACACAGATTGGTTTGGAGCAGAATTTTAGGTGATTTATTTGTACTCTGCCATGTATTTATTTATTTATTTTCAAAGTAACCGATTTATTTATTTATTTTATTGGAGTGACAGTGATTAATATGAATGTATAGGTTTCAGGTGTAGGTTTCTATGTTACAAGATCTTGTATATTGCTCTGTGTGCCTACCACCCAACAATATTTCTTTATTGATTTTCTGTTCAGTTTACTTGTCTAGAATTGTCAGTAGAGTATTAAGTTCCCCAACTATGATTTTTTTTGGTTTGTTTTTGCTTTTTAATATATCTTTATTGATTTCAGAGAGAGGAAGGGAGAAGGGGAGAGAGAGAGAAACATCAGTGATGAGTTATTGATTGGCTGCCTCCTGCACACTCCCCACTGGGGATTGAGTCCGAAACCCCGGGCATGAGCCCTGACCAGGAATTGAACCGTGATCTCCTGGATTCTAGGTCAACGCTCAACCACTGAGTCACGCCCGGCTGGGCACTATGATTGTGTTTTGATCTGTTTCTCCCTTTAGTTCTGTGAGTAGTTGCTTTATATATTTCGGTGCTTCCTGGTTTGGTGCATATAAAGAAGTGTTATGTTTTCTTGATGTGGTGTCCCCTTTATCACTATGAAGTGTCCATCTTTGTCTCGTGTTACCTTTGTTGTCTTGAAGTCTATTTTGTCAGCTATAAGTGTGGCTACACCTACTTTTCAGTGGATGCTATTTGCTTGGAGAATCATTTTCCACCCTTTTACTTTGAATCTACCTTTGTCTTTGCAGCTTAGATGTGTCTCTTGTAGGCAGAATGTGGTTGGGTTTTGTTTTTTGATCCACTTTCTATTCTGTGCCTCTTTATTGGTGAATTCACACCATTTACATTTAGGGTAATTATTGATGCATGAGTATTTCCTGTAGCCATTTTATCTTTTGTTTCCTCGTAGCTCTGTGCTTCCACTGGTTCTTTTCCTTTGTGCCTCTGTTGTTTTTGTTTGCTGATGATCATATTTCTTTCCTCTGTGACCTCTTTTTTTAAGCTGTGTGTCCTCGTTTGGGTGTGGTTACCATCAGGTTTATAAAAAATAAATTTGCATATATGCAGTACTTTTTTTTCCTTTTGAGTGCATCTGATGTCCATCCTTTTTCAGTTCAGACCTTTATCCCCTCCCCTTTATGTTTTTGTTATCACAAATTATCCCTGTTTATGCAATAAGTTTGTTGGTGATCTTACTCGTAGTGTTGTGACCTTATGTTCTTTGTTTCAGGTAGAATAACTCCCTTGAGTATTTCCTGCATTGGAGGTTTTCTGGTGATAAATCCCTCAGCTTCTGTATGTCTGGGAAGGTCCTTATTTCTCTTTAGTATTTAAAGGATACTTTTACTGGAATATTATTCATGGCTGGTAATTTCTCTTTTTCAGACGTTTGAATATTTGGTTTCACTCTCTTCTCTCTTGTAGAGTTTCTGCCTTGAAGTTGGATGAAATTCTCATGTGTTTTCCTTTGTAGGTCACCTCCTTCTTTTCCCTGGCTGCTTTGAGAATTTTTTCTTTGTCATTAATTTTTGACAGTTTTAATACAATGTGCCTTGGAGAAAGCTTCTTTGGATTGAGGTAACTAGGTGTTCTGTTTGCTTGGATTCAAGGATCTAGTTGTTTCCATAGGTTTTGGAAGTTCTTATGCACTATTTGTTTGAATAGACTCTCTGTTCCCTTCCCCCTCTCTTCTTCTTCTGGAATGCCTAATATTCTAATATTGCCTTATCTGATGGAGTTTAATAATTCTCGTAGAGCTCTTTCATTTTTCTTTATGTTCGGGTCTCTCTCTTCTTCCCTCTGCATTATTTCTAGATTCCTATTTTCAATATCAATAATTCTATCCTCCATCTGGTTGGCTCTGTTTTCTGTGCTCAGTAGCTCATTCCTAGTCTCCTTAATTGCATGCTTCATTTCCAGGATTTCTGATTGGTTCTTTTTTTTCCCTTAATATATATATATATATATATATATATTTAATTTTTATTTAAAATATTACAGATGCCCCTTTTTTCTCCCCATTGACCCATTCCACCCCGTCCCACGTCCCTCCCCAGGCCCTCTCCACATCATTGTCCATGTCCTTGGGTTGTGCATATATGTATATAAGTTCTTTGGTTAATCTCTCCCCCTCCACCCACCTGCCCTCCTCCATCCTCTGAGATTCCTCAGTCTGATCCATGCTTCCATGTCATTGACTCTGTTCTGTTCATCAGTTTATTAAGTTCTTTAGATTCCACATATAAGTAAGATCATGTGATATTTGTCTTTCTTTGCCTGGATTATTTTGCTTAGCATAATATTCTCCAGGTCCATCCATACCTGTCTCTTATACACATCTAGATGTGTATAAGAGACAGNTACTTCTTCTTTACAGCTGCATAGTATTCCGTGGTGTAAATGTCCCACAGCTTTTTTATCCACTCATTTACTGATGGGCACTTGGGCTGTTTCCAGATATTAGCTATTGTACACTGTGCTGCTATGAACATAGGGGTGCATATATTCTTTCTGATTAGTGTTTCAGGATTCTTAGGATATATTCCTAGAAGTTGGATCACTGGGTCAAAAGGCAGCTCCATTTTTAATTTTTTGAGGAACCTCTGTACTGTTTTCCATAGTGGTTGCACCAGCGCGCATTCCCATCAGCAGTGTACTAGGGTTCCCCTTTCTTCACATCCTCGCCAGCACACATCATTTGTTGATTTGTTGATGACAGCCATTCTGACATGTGTGAAGTGATACCTCATTATGGTTTTAATTTGCGTCTCTTTGATGATTAGCGACATTGAGCATTTTCTCATTTGTCCTCTTTGGAGAGAGTCTATTTAGGTCCTTTGCTCATTTCTTAATTGGATTGTTTGTCTTCCTCTTGCTAAGTAGTCTGAGTTCTTTGCACACTTTGGAAATTAGCCCCTTATCAGATACATCATCCTTGGCAAATATGTTTTCCCGGACTGTGGAGTTCCTTTGTATTTTGAGGTTTTCTTTTGCTGTGCAGAAGCTTTTTAGTTTAATGTAGTCCCATTTGTTTATTTTTTCTTTTGTTTCTCTTGTCCTAGGAGATGTATCTGAAAATTCTACTATGTGGGATGTCTGTGACTTTACTGCCTATGTTTTATTCCAGGATTTTTATGGTTTCGTGACTTACATTTAAGTCTTTTATCCATTTTGAATTTATTTTTGTGTATGGTGTAAGTTGGTGATCTAGTTTCATTTTTTTGCATGTACCTGTCCAATTTTCCCAGCACCACTTACTGAAGAGACTATCTGTACTCCATTGGATGCTTTTGCCTTCTTTGTCAAATATTAACTGACCATAATGGCGTGGGTCTATTTCTGGGGTCTCTGTTCTGTTCCATTGATCTGTATGTCTGTTGTTGTACCAATACCAGACTGTTTTGATTACAGTGGCTTTGAATACAGTTTGATATCCAGGAAAGTGATCCCTCCTACTCTGTTCTTTTTTCTCAAGATGGCTTCAGCTATTCAGGGTCTTTTTTTTGGTTCCATAAAAATTTTCGAAATGTTTGTTCTAGATCTGTGAGATATGGTGTTGGTATTTTAATAGGAATTGCACTGAATTTATAAATTGCTTTGGGTAGTATGGACATTTTAATGACATTAATTCTTCCAAATCATGAGCATGGTATATTCTACCACTTGTTTAAATCTTCCTCTATTTCTTTTTTCAGTGTCCCATAGTTTTCTGAGTACAGGTCTTTTACATCCTTGGCTAAGTTTATTCCTAGGCATCTTATTTTTCTAGTTGCTATGGTAAATGGTATTGCTTTTTAGGTTCTCTTTCTGAGAGTTCATTGTTGGTGTATAAGAATGCTATTGATTTCCAGATGTTCATTTTGTATCCAGCTACCTTGCCAAATTCATTTATCAAATCTAGTAGTACTTTGATGGATTCTTTAGGGTTTTCTATGTACAATATCGTGTCATCTGCAAATAGTGATAGTTTTACTTCCTCCTTTCCAATTTGGATACCATTTACGTTTTCTTCCTGTCTGATGGCTGTGGCAAGGACTATGTTGAATAAGAGTGGTGAAAGTGGACATCCCTGTCTTGTTTCTGTTTTTAAGGGAAGTGGTTTTAGTTTTTGCCCATTGAGTATGATGTTGGCTGTAGGTTTGTCTTATATGGCCTTTGTTATGTTGAGGTATGCTCCCTCTATTCCCACTTTGCTGAGAGTTTTTATCAGAAATGGGTGCTGGATTTTGTCGAACGCTTTTCCTGCATCTATAGATATGATCATATGATTTTTGTCCTTCATTTTGTTTATGTGATGTATCACATTTATTGATTTTTGAGTTATACCAGCCTTGCATCCCTGTAATAAATCCCACTTTGTTTTTTTAATGTATTCCTGGATCCAGTTTGCTAGTATTTTAGTGAGGATTTTAGCATCTATGTTCATCAGGAATTTTGGCCTGTAATTTTCTTTCTTTGTAGTATCTTTATCTGGTTTTGAGATTAGGACGATGCTGGCCTCATAAAAAGAGTTTGGGAGTTTTCCCTCCTCTTGAATTTTCTGGAACAGTCTGAGGAGGATAGGTGTGAGCTCCCGGCTGCAAGGCTGCATCTGAGGGCCATCTGTTTTGATGTTTTGATGCTCAGGTCTCTCAGGTGTGCCTCTATGTTGAGTAGGGAATTCTTTGTTGAATTATAGTTGATTAACTTCTTGAAATTTCATGAGGAGAGGCCAGTGGGATCTCTCATGCTGCCATTCCTCTGACATCACTGTATTTATTTTTTAATGCAGCTTATTTATGTTTTGTTTTTTAGAAGAGTTATGAGAACTGGTTCAAATAAAAAAGTAGACTCCTCTCATAATTTATAATAAATACTGTGTTTGTCATTTAATAGTTGACTGCATGTGTTTTTTCAGTTCTAGAAATGTGTGGTATAGAGTGAGATGACCATATGATTTGTCACCCATCTGGGGCATTTCTGAGAGTGAAAGGTAGTGTTGGTAATCACTACGCCAGGATTTCCGGCTCCAGGCAGGACTGTCCTGGGTAAACGAGAAAGGATGGTCACCTCCATAGAAGGCATCAGCTAGGACCTGCCTTGAGTCCAGGACTTCTGTTTGCACTGCCCTTGACTCTGGAGTTTTATTTGCTAGGATTTTACCATTGAGTGCTTCACCAGCCACTTGGAACCTGGGCCATTTCAGAGGGTTGTGGACCTGATTGTCTCCAGACGGATGCTGGCTGAGTCTCCCTTCTTCCTCCCCTTCAGCTCTACCCAGGCTCTTTCTGGTATTTCTTCTATCAAATGTTTCTTTTCCAAAGAATATTTTGGCTAATAGAACAAAGCCAGTCAGCACAGATGTGCAGAAATGATTACTAGACTTGATCACGTGGAATAAAATTACAAATCAAAAATGTATTTTCCAAAGCTGCTTTGGACTCTCCTGGTGGATGACAGCTCTGCGCTTCTGCTAGTATGCAGGACTGATTTCTCCTCAGTGCGGCAGACAGCCTCTGCTGGCACTTGAAGTTTACCAAGTATGAGGCAGACTTCTCTCCTCTCTCAACACCTAAATTTAGGCTGATCACCTTTTGTGTGTGCAGTCATTGCCTGTGTAGATCGCCTGTTTTATTCCAGACAACATCACCCTGACAGGTGGAAAGAAGAAAGGACGTGAGTTAAGTTGCAAGGAAGATCTGTGTTTCCGCAGTAGCTTCTTGGCCCTGTGTGTGGCCTTTGTACAAGTCTCTTACCTTAAGTTACATTTCCACTCCGCCAAATTATGTTTTTCAAAGGGGCTGGTGGCTCCAGCATTGCCAGAGTCAATGGAAACTCGTCTCCATCTGCCTTGGTCTTCCTCAGCACTCGACTGTGGGTCCCTCCTTCCTTGAAACCTTGGCTCTGCTGTGTGTTTGAGTTCCAGTTGTGGCACCTCCTCCATCCAGACCCGAGGTTTGGGGCTGTGAACTCTTGTTTTCTTTCTGCCTAGGTGCCCATCCATAACTCAGCACACAGTCCAGTCTGTGTGTCCGACTCTCAAATTCATTTCCCTCCAGACTTCTGAGTCGCACACTCTTCTATGCAATAGTTTCCATGACTTTTCTGCTTTAACCTTGCAGAATGGACACATGCACCATGGAGGTTGCGGCCCTCTCTGCACTCAGTTGCCAGCCTCTTTCAGCACCAGAAACCCCAATTCCTCCCTTTCAACAAGTGCTGTTGGTAGTTTCCAAAAATCACCTTGAATCCCACCCATCTCCATCTTCTCCACTGCCCCTCAATGCGCCTGCCTCAGCTCTCGCCTGGTTCACCATAGCCCTCTCCTGATGGTCTCCCAGCCCCCCTTGCCTCCTTTAAATCCACTTTGGTGGTACAGTGGTGAGGCGTAGACGTAAACTGAAATTAATCCCTCTTGTCGATTCTTGGTGCCTTAGTAATTCCTTATCATATGTGCCTGGGTCTCTTGCTCAGCTCTCAGCTGGAGAGTGGTCTCCTTTAATTCCTTAACCTGCCCTCTCACACCAGCTTCTCTGTGAGCGCCCTGCCCTTCCTGTGCTGCTGCTTGTTCTTAGTCCGCGACTGAAACCCCAAGTCCTCCTCAGACTGTTTCTCTAAGGTAGACATGGCCATTGGTTTTTTTCCTTGAGCCGTCTGCTGCTTTTATAGCTCTTGCCACAGGATGGGTTTATTTTATGTTTGTGTTCTTGTATGTAGTCCGTCTTCCACATCAAGGTCTTGAGGATAGAGACCCCATTTCTCGTGTTCCCAGCTGGATTCCTAGTGCCTAGCACGTACCTGGCACAGAGCTGGTATTTAGTAAACATTTGTTGAATGAATTAATGAAAAGTATGAATCTAGCCACGTCCAATTTTGTGTTAATATTTTTCCTTTCTGGATTTAGAAAATTAGCATATCTAATTTTTCCTTTCTGGATTTAGAAAATTAGCATCATATATAGAGAAACTCAAGACAGATCTAAGATCTAAGATTTCTTAGTGAGGAAAGTGTAAATAGCAGACTGCAGGGAAGAACTGGCAGTAACATCCCCAGTTCCCATTCTTGTTTCCACCTCAGGCTCTGCTTCCTGCGACACACCCGGGTATGAGCTCTCGTATAAAGATCAGCGTGGCTCTGGCGGACGTGTGCTTTCCAAGCTAACAGAGTAACTGGCTAGTGTCCCCCTCATGTGTATCAGGAATTCAGATCCCTCCTGATTCCAAGTTTTGCAGCTCCCCTTCCCCACCACACACTGCATGAAGAGGCTGCTCAGTTCTGTTGTCACAGGGTTGAGTGACCGCAGAACTTTAGCCCTGGTCACATGACGCTCTCTTTCCTGCCAGTCAGTGGGTGCTCCCCCAGGTTCCGGTCACCATCTCACCCCTGTTCCTGCAGCACTGTGTATGCCTCGAGCTCCCTGAACACATGAGCCATGTGTTACCATTGTATCCCTAGCTTCTGGCAAATAATTGCTCAATAATGGGGGCTGGATAAACAAATTATGATGGTATCTTTGTAGAAATCAGGAAATGACATTTGCTTCTATCTTACAGTATGTTCCATTTACTATGTTTTTATTTCCATAAAAAGTTAATACTAGCCCTGGCTGGCGTGGCTTAGTGGTTAGAGCGTCGGTCTGTGGAACTGAGGGTTGTGGGTTCGATACCGGTCAAGGGCATATACCTGGGTTGTGTGTTCATTCCCCAGCCCTGGTCATGGCACGTATGGGAGTTAGCCAATTGATGTGTCCCTCTCACATCAATGTTTCTCTCTCTCACCCCCCCCCGCTCCTTTTCCTTCTACTCTAAAAAAATCAATGGAAAAAGTAATACTAGTGATGGTTTTCTTTTTTTAAATATGTTTTTACTGATTGCAGGGAGAGAGAAAGAAAGAGACATCAGTGATGAGAGTCATTGATCAGCTGCCTCTTGCACGCCCCCTACTGGGGATCGAGCTCACAACCCGGGCATGTGCCCTGACCGGGAATGGGACCGTAACCCTCCTCGTTCATGGGTCAACACTCAACCACTGAGCCATGCTGGCTGGCTAGTGATGGTTGTCTTATAGCAAAGTTCTTAGGAGTTTAGGATGCAAGGAGACACGTGTGTGGTTGTTTGTTTCAGCTATGACCATTCTGTCTCCAACGACAAAGCCCTGATGGTGTTGAGTGAGGAGCCAGTGCTCTACCTCCCGCCCCCGCCGTGCCAGCCGCTCATCAACACCACGGAGTCCCTCAGGTCAGTGCTGCAGCCAAGCAGGCTGTGTTTGCTTCGGAACCTAGGAAAGAACTGCTTCAGATCTAGTAGATGGGGGAATCTCTGAGTTGCTCATCAGGTAACCACAGGTATGTCAGTTGTCCAATTACTGTGCCAACCTGATCGAGATGGTGTGCTCATTCCATGGGGTGGTATTGGGGGTGTAGACTTCAGATGCCTCCTTTGAAAACCACAGGGTGATGTTAATATAAAAATCCAAGTGAGTGCTAGATTGGGGGTGGTGACACTACCAGCAGAACGGACTTTTCCTCAGTAGGAAGATGACAATTGGAATACGCACGACTCCAGAGATACTTTCCCACCGGGCACTTTTCTTATCTGCTTCTCCCTTGAGTTTTTTCTGTGATTTTGGATCCTTCCCTTTTTTGTGACTGGTAGTAGTCAGCTGTGGTCAAGGGGACATGGTCGCACTGCTTATAGCTGTGGCCCAGGGGACGTGGTCATGCTGCTTATAGCTGTGGCCCAGGGGACGCAGTCACGCTGCTTATAGTGGTGGCCCAGGGGACGTGGTCACGCTCTTTATAGTGGTGGCCCAGGGGACGCGGTCACACTCCTTATAGTGGTGGCCCAGGGGACATGGTCACACTGCTTATAGCTGTGGCCCAGGGGACACTGCTTATCAGCTGCTGTGGGAAGGAAGGAGAACAGAGAGTGTTACAGCAGAACTAGGCTTTTGAATTTCCGGTTGGAAATTGGCCAGTTGGATGTAGTGCACTTGAGTTGCCTCTTTTCCGTCTCTCAGGAGCGTCGTTTTCCAAGGCTTTGATGTTCTGCTGTTGCTGGCGCCTGGGCCTGTCTCCCTTGCGGCCTGGATGTTGCCCAGGAGCAGCAGCAGGAGACACTTTCTGTGGAAAACCTTCATCCTACTTTTACGCTCAGCAGGCCTTTGGCTTTGGTTTTCTCTGAATTTCGAACTCATGACTGAGGAGGCTACCATCTGACAATCCCTGTCTTACTAAAAACAACTGAACGTTAAGTATCTTAGCTTTCTCAACCCAAAAAGCGATATCGAATCCTCAGGCACTTGGCATGCTCTTTGGAACCTGTAAAATGTGGTTAAATTCCTAACCGGGGATGAGACATTTAGTCCTGTGTAATGTGCGAAATTAATGACTCTGTTTTACAGGTTAAATCACGAACTCCGAGGGTGGGTTCACAGACACCAAGTGGAAAGGACCAAGTCAAGAAGAACGACCGGCACTCAGCAGAAAACGCGCATCCTTCAGGTGGGTTTCTGCTCGTCTCCCACATGGATGGCGTCTTTGTAGGAAGGCTTCCCCAGCTGGTTGCTCGGTCCCTGGAAGATTTGGAAAGTCTGACCTGTAACCGCCTCCCATGGCCTCCTGCTTCCCCGCCTCCCCAGGGTTGCCAGCACTGGGTCAGGCTGCATGCCTCAGATTTCCTGCGCAGCCACTGCTGTTTCCTGCTCTCCCCCAAACTTGCTGTCAAGACTTCCATACCAAGTATTTGGGCACAAATGGTTTAATAGATAATACTTTTTATCTTTGTTCTTAGAGCTTTTCAAAAAGAGGGGGTTGAGATGTAGGGAAGCTTGGAAGGGAGGGCCCTCTCCATGGAGGGTGCCCTGAGCTCATTTAGGACCTGTGTAGTTGGGCATGGTTCATAGTCACTCCATACTCCTTCACTCCTCAGATGTTCATCACAGCTCCCGGCGAACATTTCCCAGACCCGGGGACGCAGCAGTGGGTATCATACAGCCCTGCCCTTGTGGAACTTACATTATGGTGGGAGAAAAGAACAGTCAACAGGCATGTGGATATTTAAGTGCACTCAAAGTAAGAGGCGCTCTCTAAAGAAGAGGCAGGGTTGGTGGTTAAAGTTTGAACTGAGAGATGGTGGCTGCTTTAAATAGGGTGTTTAGAGGTTTCTCTAGAGAGGTTCCACTTGAGTGAGGTACTGTCAAAGTAATTAATGCTGGCAGTTGTAACATCTAGACTCAAATTCTCAGTAGCTTCTGGAGTAAAAATTCATTTCTCACCCACATAAAGTTTGATGTACAACCCCATGGTTTCCTCTGAGCAATGACTGAAGAATCCAGGTCTCGAGCTCAGGTTCCAACATCCTGACAGTCTAGGATTGTTCAGTATGTACCTCTCTGGCCTCTCCAACACCTTTTGTTCAAGGATTTTGGCAACTTTATTGGTTGTTAGTACTTCTGGAGGCTGTGGGTAACCATGACCAGTGTTGCTGGTAGCGCAGCGTCCTATAGCTGCTCACTGGCATCGGTGTGCAGCGGAATGGTCCTGCGGAACTCATGCCCCCACAGTGCACATTGGCACTCTGGCCAGAGGAGAGGTGCTTTGTTCCCCTGCTTCTGGATCTGGTGCTTGTGGGTGGGACCAAAGTAGTAGGACCCTGGTGGCTAAACATTTGACAACATCATTTTGGGGCTTGTGTCCTTGCTGTGCAGGGACAAGCGAGGGACAGCCGGAGTGGAGGATCCCACAGCTGGTGAATGGGCTTCATGGACCTAGATTAAAATCCTTGGCCTGAATGAGTTGCTTTGCCTTATCTTTTGATGTAATTTCTTGTGATTTTATCCTGTTCATTAGATGAATAAACAAAGTTTACTGTGTGAGGGGTGGTTGGTGTTCCTTAATCTGGAAGGAATTTTAATGGAATGAAGATAATTTTGGTTAATTTCACAGTCTTGGAACATTTGGGGGAGATTTGTAAAGTCTTTCCCTTTCTGTGCATCTCGGGTGCACATCTGTCTGTGTGAGTGTGGATAGTGGTCAGCAGTGTGGGACAACAAGCTGTGACAGGGACAAGAAGGATGGGGGGCCTGAGTTAGCCAGGGGAGGAAGCTCTGATCATCAGAGGAAGGAAGCACCTCTGTCAGGCTGCGTCCACACCAGAGCTTACAGCAGTCCCTGACTTGCCCTCAGTGCCAGCCTGCCACCGCTCTGCCTACTGCTCTTTCCTCGTTTCAGCCTTTCCCCCCACATCACCCCTTTCAGATGCTAGGTGGACCCAGGAGTATACTAAGATCCTTAGTATATCCGCCAAATTGACATTTCTTTGAGATTTCTGTCATTGCTAAGCATTATGTAGTTGATTCAGCTTGTGTCATTTCATAATTCTATCTTCTTCCTAGATTGAATTTTTAGAAAAGGTAGAGTGTCAAGACAGGGAAAATATCTTTCAAAGTGAAGGCACAATACAGATATTCCCAGACAGATGAGAACTGCAATCCTTTAGCTCCAGATCTGCAGTAAAGGAAGGGTTTGGGCGGAAGGAAATGGTGTCAGGCAGAACTCCGACAGCGTGAGGAGGCCAGTATCAGTGAAGATAAACGCCCTCCTGTAAATATCTTTAATTTGTGTTTATATAAATGTCTTTAGAAGACTTGTTTTTTTAAAGCAAAACTCCGAACAGTTTGTTATGGGGTTTATGGGTTATGTAGGAGTAAAATATATAATGACAAGAACAGAAAGGTGTAGGGGCGGTGAACGCAGTGTACTCTCAGGAAATTTTCATGTTGTTGAAATAATACTTCAGGGTTGGCTGTGGTAACTTAAAGACCAAAGTATAGTCTCTAGAGCAGCCACTAAAAACTATAACACAAAGAAGTACAGTTAAAAAACCAGTACAGGAAATAAAAATGGAATACTAAAAACATATATTTCGGCCAAAAGAGGGCAGGGAAGAACAAACAAAGAACATAGGAGAAGTAGAAACTATATTCCAAGATAACAGACCTAATCCCGGCCACACTAGCAGTGAAAGGTAGGGGGGTAGACACACCAGTTTAAAGGCAGAGGTAAAAGGTAACACCCAACTCTACATTGTTTACAAGAAATAACATTTTAAATATGAGCACACAGATGAAAAACCAGTGGGTGAGAAAGTGCAATATTGTGCAGACATCGAGCATTAGGAAGCTGGTGGCTCCACTAGTCAGACAACGTAGACTTGCAGGTGGAGAATTTTATAGGAGCTGAATATGGAAGTTTCACAGTGATGAGAGGACGTTTAATCAGGAAGACAGAATTCTAAATACACAGGCTCCTGATAACAAAGCTTCAACATACGTAAAGCAAAAAGTGACGGAACTGACGGGAGAACGGCACAAGTCGGCAGCACAAGGAGGTTTATGTAAGGTCTTATTTCGTGGACGTCTGTCTCACAGTTTGCTGATTGTGACCTTTTGCTAAATCCCTATAGCTACAGATGCTAAAGCTTCATTGCCAGTTTTTCAGAGGCTTATTTGTTAATTGGTGTAAATCTTAGGTGAGTAAATGTCATACCCAGTTTCTATTTGCCTAACGTCTCTGTAAGTCAGTGATTTACAGCCCGGTCATTTCTGAATCTAGGGACAAATCTTGCTTGTTTTGGGGAGCTCCCTTAAGGGTGGCTTAGTCCATGGGTGTATTTAGGCAGGAAGACTGTCATGTTAGCTCGTAAACAGTAGGATCACGCTTTGTTAAGGAGACCTTCCACACTTTAGGAACTTTTCATTGGAAAATAATTTTAGCAAACATAAATTGCTATATTTTCAATAATACTTATATGACTTGGTCATAAAACTTGTGATATTTGAGCTAAGCTTTTGGGCTATTTTTAGAAAAACTTCATGGGAAATGTCTCTTAAATGTCTTAATTTCCAGAAGACACATCCCTCAGCCAAGAATGTGACCAGAGGAGTTCTCACTTCCGTGTTGGTGTTGAATCATGTAAACTCAGTTCGTTGGACTGTTCATGAAAATATCCACAGAGATGCCTTAATGAGAGTACAGTAAATGAAAATGCCGAATGAGTCAGTGCAGGGAGATCTTCATGTAATTTCAGTACATGGCGTTAAATTTTTTGTCTTCTTCTAGGGTGCTCTGGAGCAGGGCTCCAGCTCTCAGCTCATGGCTGTCCAGTACACAGAGACCACCAGCCTCAGGTGAGAAAGAAAGTGGGCACACCTGGTCCAGGAATTGAAAATGAGTTGTAGTTGCCCTCACTGTTCATTGTTCTGTATTTGTGAATCCACCTACTTGCTAAGATTTCTTTGTAACCCCAAAATCAATACTCAGGGTGCTTTCGTGGTCCTTTGCAAACGTGTAGCTGCTCCCAGGTGAGTGCAGGTGTCCTTTCCAGGTGTATCAGTGCCATGGTTTCCACAGCCCTGTGCTTTTTTTTGGTGATTTCACTGTTTAAAATGGCCCTGAGTGTCAAGCTGGAGTGCTGGTGGCTGTTCTCAAGCACGGAGAAGCCGGGTTGTATGCCCTGTGTGGGAGCATTTGTTAGGTGAGCTTCAGTCAGGCCTGAGCCACCCTGAGTTCAGTGTTAGCTAGTGAACAGTACATGTTCAGGAAGGTGTCTCTGAACAGAAGCACAGAAATCCAGGCTACACGTTGATGAAAACACCTGCAACCTGACCCCTTAGGACAGGGGTGGGGAACCTTTTTTCTGCCAAGGGCCATTTGGATATTTAAAACATAATTCTCGAGCCATACAATATTGTCAGCTTAAAGCTAGCTAGGAAAAATCTCCAAGATTGATTGAATTTCAAGTCCTGCCTGCGGTTGCCTTGGCAGGGCCAGACCCAATGATTTTGTGAGCTGGATACAGCCCATGGGTCATACGTTCCCTACACCCTGCTTTAGGAGAATGGTTCACTCTTTGTGGATTCAGTGTTCGTACAGAAGTGCCGAGGATACTAATTGACTGTATATTCAAGACGTTATAGTCAGAAATGGCCTAGTGAGCAAATGGAATTACTTCAAAGGAAGTTCTTATGACTCACTTATAATTTCCTTTTAGGGCTACTCTTTTTTCCTCTTAGGTTAACAAAGATCAATTGAAAAAATAAACATTCATCAAAAACACAAAAGACCATATAAGGAAGAAACACATAAGCGTTTTTTGGGAGAAAAAATAAGTATTATTTCTTTAACCCTCCTTTAACCTGTGTACATTGGCTCATTGTGCTAAACAGTGAAAGATCCTTGTTATTAAGAACTGTGTCCCTGTCATTTAAGTGGATCTTGGGACAGGCTGTGTCTGAGGTATTGCTGTCCAGGCTCTGTCCTGGCTCTTTAATGCCTACAACTGAGTGGTGCCGGGGAACAGGACCCTGCGGGTGCCCATGCACCGCCACACCCTGACCTAGTCACAGTACTTTTGTTGATGAGGAACTGGGGTTGCTCAGAGGTGGATCTCCCCGAGGACACCCCCGTGAGGAGGAGCCAGGCCATTTGTCCTCGAGTCCTAAGCTCTTTCCTCTTCCACAGCCACAAAGGCGAGACCTGCACCGGTCTGACTGGGGAGCAGCGCTGTCCTCAGACTCATCCTTGCTACCAGGAATTCAGCATCGCGCACAGTAGTGCAGAAATCTGTTTCCTGATGTTCTGTGATTTTCACATGCTCTTCAGTGCACGTGACTTTCTGTGACGCTTTAGTCTCAATTCAGAAACAAGAGTTTTAGCGTCAGTGAATTGAATCTTACAAATCTCCCGACCTTGGGCTTTTCAAAATGTTATAAAAACTGCCAAAATGCTACTCATATTTTGGCTGAAATTCTTACAAGCAGACATAGGCTGAAATGTACTTTCCGAATGAAAGTAGTTCTGAGAGGATGTGACAGTCTGGAGTGTAAGGACACTGCCTCCTTTTTCAGCAGGAACTCGGGGAGTGAGCTCCAGGTGTACTACGCTTCCCCCAGAAGTTATCAAGACTTCTTTGATGCCATCCGCAGAAGGGGAGACACGTTTTACGTCGTGTCATTTAGAAGGGTAAGTGTGTTTGGAAGGATAAAGGATGCATTTTTGAGTACCTGCTCTGTGCAAGGCGTTGGGCTGGACGCTGGGACAAGAGGCAGCGTGGAAAGCGAGCTAGCTGTGGGAGCCTGTGGAGCTGTCTCAGTGCTGTGGCACCTGCTGGACTCCTGTAGCCTGTGTAGGTGAACTTGGGGTTGGTGCCTGGCAGGGACTTTGTCTTTAGGAAACATAAACTCCTTACTGGTGTTTGTGTCATCCCTATAGCCAAACTGTTTAGAGGTTTGGCTACAGGGATGAAGGTTTCTGTTTAGACTTGTGGTAGGATTCCCATTGGTTAGTGAGAAGTCGACGTCGCACAGGTGAGTTTCAGGTGGCCATGGGCTGGTTAGTACAGCGGTCCTGGGCTAGTTAGTACAGTGGTCCTGGATTGGTTAGCACAGTGGTCTTGGGCTGCTTAGTATAGTGATCCTGGGCTGGTTAGTACAGTGGTCCTGGGTTGGTTAGTACTGTGGTCCTGGGCTGGTTAACACAGTGACCATGGGATGTTTGGGTCTTGGTCCTGGGGTTCTGGTTCTCTCTCTCCTTCAGCAAACATTTATCCTGCTGGTGAGGGATGTGGTAGATACTAGTCAGGTTATGCAAAAGGCAGTGCCGTACGAGCACTTTTGAATGTTACATGCAAATGGAAAAATACATTGCCATTTACTCCATCTATTGTTCCTATAAAATGAAAATGTATTCTTCATGGAGTTGCCGTATGAGTATCTCTATGTTGTATGTTAACCAGGAACGAATGAATGGGCCAGAATTGGTGGTTTGTATCCTAGGTTTTTCTTGTTTTTTCCTAAAGACTATGGAGGGGGGTGTGGTTATAAATAAATGTATTTCAACAATGGGGTAAACAGTGCATTCTCCGCTTGTTGTCACCACTGAACTCCCCAGGAACTCTTTCCCAGGAGTAAATGCCGAGGAGTTCAGAACTTTAGGACCAGAGACTTGACCCTTGAAGATGAGGGAAGTCAAGCATTTCATATGTTTTTAGTTCTCACATATGCCAGGACATTTGTAATTCTGTAGTGGTGCATCTCATGGTTCCCGCCTTTGCACAAATCCCTGCACTCAGGATGGAGTTGGTGTTTCTGCACAGCCACAGCTGTGGCCACTTCACAGCAGGGGGCAGCCAAGAGCGGTGATGAGACCCAAGCATCTGCCATAGTGTCCACATGATCATGTTCAAAGTGGAGAGAAAGTAAACTTAAAAATGGGAACCAGCACCATGAAGAGGACCCCGGGTGGATGTGAGGACAGAAGTGTTGAAGCTGGGGCTGTCAACTTACCTAGAAGCATGTTTTCAACAGTCAAGTAGCAGAATACTTAGCTTCAGCACAGTTCTCCTGCCATTTCATCAAAACAGCCGAGCAGGTGTTAGAAGTAGCAGCCGTGCAGCCATGGGCTGAGGTCAGGTTAGTAATGCTTTTCTAGGGACTGCTCTTACAGAGGAAGGTGTGGGGCTCCTTCCCTGCACCTCCCCATGTCTTGCGTGTGTAAAAGCTACTTCTCATTAGTTTGCTGTGTCAGGTGCTGTTGGAGAATTTTCTACCCCCATAACCTCCTGTTCTAGTGGACAGACAGTCTGTCTCACGTCGGGGAACCGTTAGGGCTCTCCCTGTCTGCACTCTTCATTTCCTGATGACTGACGATCTCATCTTGGCGCTTTACATCACGGAGAAGTAAGGATAAACCTGAGCTCCCATAGACATGCTGTTGGAGACAGCGACGCTTTGCTTTTGCAGTGGGATAAGGAGCTCGTTTCGTCGTGATGACCATAAACTGTGTCATGGGAAAGGAATTTGCTCTTTAAATCCTGGGTGGTGCCTTTGTCCTTGCTGAAATGGAAATGAAAGAAGTGATGCTTCTTGAAGTAGCTGCCCGTTGTTTAGTCATAACTGTTATCTTTGATGAACCCTTTGCCAGACGCGCAGCCCTCACACCCTGATCCTGTGCCCTGATCCTGTTACGGGGAGCTGCTGGGCACTTTCCCAGAGCTGACTCGCCCCGGTGGGAGAGGGGAGGGTGCTCCTGCCCCCGCGTCCCCTGTGGGTCTGCTGACCTTGTCCTGCTCCTTCCTTTGACTCCCCTGGAAGTTTCACCCCACCTCATTTAGTTCCAGGAATTCACAACTGGTCTCCCTGTTTTACTTCTCTTATTCCCCTGTTTCTGTTTTACTGTGATTTGGGGCAGGGGGTGGTAGAATATAACTTTTTTTCCAAGTCATGTTGAGTGTGGTATAACGGATACATTAGTAAGAAAAATTCAGTAAGTTTAATGAGTGTTTTTTCTTAATACTTTCGTGTGATAGTGTATTTGGGAGGGAGGGGTGGACACAGGAGCACAGGACAGAAACTGAGACTCGGGAATGAGGCTCCAGAAGCGGACACAGGCGACTGCAGAGGGCGAGGTAGCGCTGGGGCGGTGGAGGACAGCGTCCTCTGTCGGAGCTCCAGCACGCCGAGCCTGTCGGTCCCCTCTCTGAAAACACTGGGAAGATACCCTGGGTGAGGGTTTAAGAAAACAGAGCGGAGCTGCCGGGTGTGCGCTGTGACCTTACCAACCACACCCGTGACATTCTCTGGGTCCTTTTCTGTCTCATTGCAGTTTTTTGTGTGTTTTTTTAATTTTAATTTTTTAATCCTCACTTGAGGATGTTTTTTCCGTTGCTCTTCAGAGAGAGTGGAAGGAGGGGGGAGAGAGAGACATCGGTGTGACAGAGACACGTCGCATATTGATCGGTTGCCTCCCGCATGCGCCCTGACCAGGGCTGGGGTTTGACCCTGTAACCGAGGTACATGCTTCTGGCTGGCATCGAACTCAGGACCCCTCAGTCCACAGGCCACTGCTCTAACCACTGAGCCAAACCAGCTAGGGCTGTCTCATTGAAGTTTATTCAAACGCCGACACCTTCACTGTAAGGCCCAATGCAGCGCACAGGTTTCTTTCACCTCCATCACCCTGTTGGTCCCTCACACGTAGGGGTGAGTATTCCTGCTCCTGTTTGTAGATCAGAGGCGAGGCAACGGGACGCGAAGTGGCTTGTGAGGACACAGCTGGTACCGGCAGAGCTGGGCAGTGACTGAGCTGCCCTGATGGACGGGGAGCCTCTTTATGCTCTGGTGCTGTGTGTTAGAATAACTGAACAGAAAGCCCTCTTCCTCCAGCGCCCGCCATCACTGCAGGTCGGCAGTGCCGGCGGAGCTCTTGCCGGACAATTCCGTTTGTTGTCTATTACTCTGTGACTGTAGGTCACGCACTTTACCAGGTTACACTTTCACAACAGGAAAGAGTAACCTAATGGTTGGAAAGGTTATGATACAGCTTCAGACTTCAAGCCAGGGAGTAGGGTTAATAGGCTGGAGAGCTTCTGGTTTCTCTTTAAATAATTGGAGAAAAACGTCTGCTATTTATCAACAAGGAAGAAATTGAGTCACAGCGGCCACTACTGTGGTGACCAGCCTCCAGCACATCGCAGCATGAGGAGTGGTCCTGTGCGTGTGTGGGCGCCAGGTCCCTGTGAGGAGGGCTGTTTGATCTGAAGCTCCTTGCTCCCTGTGAGTTACTGCTGTGGCTTTAGGGGCTTAGTCATTGGTTCCTTGGCTCTTTAACAGACTGCTGGCAACACAAAAAAATCAATTTGGATTTCTTGGTTGCTCACTCTAAAATATCTTATTGTGTGTTTGGGAAATGACTGTTCAGTGGCCTCTTGGTATCGAATACCCACGGGCGCTGAGTACTAATGCTCTCGAGTGATGCAGTCTCAGAAGTCTCAGGAAGGTGGCAGGTCCGCCTGAGCCGGGACAGCTGCTTCTGGCTCTGCCGAGTGGTCTTCGCTCTGCACTGTGTTCTGTGTGTCGTGGTACCTCGCCCTTCAGGTTGCGTGCCTTCAGGATGAGGCATGGTCTGTGTACAAGGCCTGGTGTGGGTGCTGCAGCGCTCAGAGTCCCCATGGGTGCTGGCGTGCGCTGCCTTTATCTGTACCCTTGAACCTTGTTTTTTGTGCCCTCAATTCAGAATGTTACTAGAGCTGGGGTTTGCAGAAACTAAGAGGGAAATTTTCCTCAATGGATGTTTAAAATTACTTTTGGAATTTAAATAACAATGCAAATTTGAAAAATCTATAGTCTACTCTGACATGGATAGACCTTTAGCTGCAAAGTAGTTGCTGAAAGACTCCAAGTCCCCTGCAGACAGCTGAGGTACTGGCAGTTTCCCTATCAAATTTCAGACTTTTGATTTTTAATAGCTGGTGGTCTTGCAGTTTACTTGATCACTGTTGTAGTGCTCACAACATGACCATCCTGCATCCTCACATGTCCCTCCAAGGCAGTGCAGTTATTGTCCTCATTTTCGGAGGGGGCGCCTGAGACACAGAGCGGTTCATCCATTTGTCCAACAAAACACCTTTTGGAAGTGAAAGTGTGACTCCAGGGTCTATGTTTCTCTGATCACTTCCCTGTGTTGTCTTTCTGGAACTTTTATATCTAAATATCTTTGCTCTCCAAGAACTCAACCTGGAATTTAATTCCATTGATCTCTCTGTTCACAACATACTTTGAGTTACTTTAGGTTTATATTCCAAAGAGAACAAGACCAAAGACAGAGCCCTGGGAAATCCAGCCACATGCAACTTAGAAGTAAAGGTGTGGGGGAAGGACTGCCTGCAGGGAGTGGAGGAGGTGACCAGAGGCGAAGGAGGAGGTAGGGACAGTGTGCCACGGAGGAGGGAACAAGACACTTATTTTAAAACATGGAGGTCAAGAGAGAAGAATTCAGAAAGGAGGCATTTAGCAGCGTCATATGCCAGAGCTTGCTGAGAATGAGAAGGGAGAAGACGCGTTTGTCTCTGTAAACCTGGACCCCAGTGTGACCGGAGACTGCAGTCACAGTGGAGGGGTCTGGACGGAATCTAGACCAGAGGCAGTTAGGATGTAGGGGGAGTGGAGTGGGGGTTGGCACACCGG